TAGCGGCGGCAATTTTACAACTGCAACAATGAAACGACGTCGATTTCGCCACTAAAAGCATCTTGTAATGGAGGTTTAATTAAATTGTATGCCACATATCTATCAATGGCTGGAGCAAATGTGAATGTAACTCTCAACGAGTAGCGCAGCAACGCCATTGTGGCATTTGTGGCAAAGAAGCAATCATCTGTCGCAGCTTTATGTAGCTGGTGGCAGCAACAATTTCCACAGCATTTATGATTAATCATATTTTCACTCAATTACTCTTGGATGAGTGTCAAAGGAGAAATTGTTGCTGATAGTTTGCTTTTATTTCGTTAACAACAATAAATTACAGTTGATGTTGAAGATAGCTAACCACCGTTGCGGCTACTCTCTATTAATGTTTGCTGGCGTTTGATATTGACGATAATTGCTGTTTAGCGTTCGTGTGTGGTACAAGTATTTATTGCGTGTGAATGCTTTAATTAGTTGCTACATATTTTTAAATGGTTTAAGATTGAGGTCTTTTATAATGTCACTCTTTGTAACCTGTTTTAAAGAAAAAGATAAGCGCTGGCAGCGCATTTTTCTGCTGAATAAAAACGCTGTGGACAAATGTATAAGTCCGACGCTGAAAAGTGCTTTAATTATTTACATCCCCAACATCAATAATGCCATTCTGAAGATCCCGGAGGAGAGTTACCCTTAAGAAACATCTGCTTCTTTGTCTCTTCGGACAGTTGAAAAACAGAGCACTCGCTGAACGTACCAAAATCACGCTGTGAAACTCTCATCATGCCGGCTTTTTTATTAAAATTCTACAAAAATAAGCGTATCCGAGCACGAAAACAATCAAATAACCGAGTTAAGACCTTCACGAAGGAAGAATCCAACTGACCGAATTTTTGGATAAGAGCCTAAACCGAATAACAGTTTTAATGTCAAATAATAATAAGAATATGGTGATAGATATTATTAATAAGGAAAATGAATTAGCAACACAAGTTTAAGGGATGTGCATAGCTCAGTGGTTAACGCTTCTGACTTTGCACACCGATGACGCGGGTTCGATCCCCGCTGAAAGTCTAGAAAAAAGAAGTCTCATGAGCAGATGTGGTGATCTCCGAAATAGCTGCTAAAACTTCTACCGCTTAGACTTTGTTGCATTTTCCATTTCTTCCTAATAAAAAAATCGTGGTACAAAGCTCAATAAGAAGATTAAATTTAAATGTTAATAAGCAACAATAACACTGAAAAATAATTTATTTTCTTTTTACGCTCGTGCAGCTGCAGCCAAAAGCCGGTAGTTAATAAATTTAAAACAATATATTTTTATAAATTTTTATAGAAAAAGAATGCTATCTTATTTACTGCTAAGTGAGTTTATGTATATGCAAACAAACAGAGTCCACGAAACAAACAACAAAAAAAATGCAATTTCATTATTACAAATAAAAATTACCAGTCTTTATCCTATGACAAGCGAGAGCCAATCTCCGTTGCATTGTTTGTAAAATACATGTAATTAGTGTGGTTTATTATTTTGGTTTGTTTGTTGGTTCGACAAACTGCGGCGAGTAATCAGCATTAAAATGCAATCGTTTAAAATTGCATAAAACGCGCTCGCCCTCACACACAAACTTTCGGCCGGAAACCCCTTCGCTTCTACACATACAGTATTGGTCATATCTATAGCACGCCATTTCAAAGTAATATTGTTTGCCCCTTATGTTTTTTCTGTTAAGAATATTCACTTAAAATACAGTTCATTCTCTTACAAACCCCATATAAACCAAAGTTGGCAACTTTGTAAAAACTAAAAAAGAAATCATAAAATTTTAACCCAAATTTCAAACTTTTTTCTCGGAAGTGTTAGAATTCTTTTAATAATAAACAGTTTAATAGGCCATTCAATTTTAGCTCAATTTTTAAGTGGCTAAAAATTACCGTTGATTTTTTAGATTTTTTTTTCGCCAACGGTGTTGCGGTTCTCTTTCATATACAAATAAATTCTGTTTGTTTGTTATATGGAATTGCGACAAAAAATTCTAAAAAATCAAAGGTAATTTTTAGCCACTTAAAACTTGCGCATTATCAGACTAAACTTGAATGGGCTATATATAAAACTGTTTACTCAAAAAAATTTTTACACTTCCGAGAAAAAAGTTTGAAATTTGGGTGAAAATTTGTGGCATTTTTTTGTAGTTTTCTGCAAAATCTTAAACTTGGATGTATATGGGCTTTTTTAAAGAATGAACTGTATTTTAATTGAAAATACTTAAAAAATATAAAAATAAACATAAGAGGAAAACAATATTACTTTGAAAATGCGTGCCAATATTTTAGCGAAATAAAATGAAGCGTTTTTGTATCAGAATAAAAAATATCAGCCATTGAAAAACAACTACATATATATGTATGCGGAGTTATAATGGCAATGAAATCAACAAAAACAAGTAAGAAAGTCAAAGTTCGGGTGGAGCCGAACATTAAATACCCGGCGCAAGTATTAAATATATGTTTTTTCACCTTTCCGAAAGCTACCGCTAGATGGTAAGCCGGGGTGTATCAATTTTGAGTAAATTAGCGTCCTTAAATTTCGAAATATTGCAGTTTCAAGCATTTCGGAAATTTACCGTTATATGAAAAGCGGCCGTAATTTTAGTCCGATTGAAATAATTTTCAACGTTTTGCTTTTGTGTGGCAAGCACAATAAAAATACCGAGTTTGGTACAAATTGGTGGAACGGTTACCGATATACATATATGTGATCATAAGTGGGCGGTGCCACGCCCATTTTCCAAAATTTTACCACAAACGTATTTCTTGGTAAAGAATTGTTGCAAGCATCAATTTTGAATAAATTTGCTTTATTATTTACTGATTTATTGAAGATTTTGTATTTCTCTTAACTACCGTTATATGGGATGTTGGCGTGGTGGCCATTTAGT